ATGCTCGGAGCGGAATAACTGGGCCTTCTGTACTTTGAGGGTTACAGGAGCTATTGGGGATCCCCTCCCAAAGTCATGTGGTCCCACCCTTTCCTCCTTCAAGCAAACCGGAAGTCCAGGTGCCCCACCACAGCCAAAGAGCGACCTCTGAGCGACCTGCAGTGAGGGCCAAGGTGGAGGGAGGGCACCCCGGAAGTCCAGTTCCCCGGCCTGGATGGGAGGGGGAAAAAGAGCAGGAAGTGGAGACTCTTGCCTTTATCAGAACCCAGCAAGATCCAAGCAGGGCGCGGAAAACTAATCTTAGGCAAGAGAGAGTTCATCAAAAATTTCTTTCCAGCTGGGCGTGGTGGCGCACGCCAGTGATCGCAGCATTATGGGAGGCTGATGATCGCGAGTTCGAGGCCAGCCCGAGCTACCTACGTACAGCGACCCTGTTTCAAAAACTAAAATAAATAAATTAAAAATCAGTTTCTTTTCAGCCTCCCCGAGTTAAGGACCAATGCTCATCTAGCCTAGTCCCTCGCTGACAACATAGATGGTTCCGCAGCTCCTGCGAGCAGCCTTCCCACTGCTCGGTAAACGCCACTCCAGCCGTGGCGGGGTGGGGCGCTGACCGGTGGGGAGGTCCCAAATCCTTTCCTTGCCCCGGGGTGCTTGGCCTGGAGAGGAAAGGGTCTCCCCCACCCAACCTCTTTCCCTTAGGCAGTCTGATTTCCAGCCGGACTGGGTTCCAGTAGCCAGGGAGAGAGGGCTCAGGGCCCCAGTAGAGTGCTGGGAAGGCCGCGGGCGTGGGCTTCTCCTGGAGCGCGCCCAGAGGGTCTGGGTCTGTGACTCTCACAGCCATGAGCGCGAGGGTCCGGGCAGCAGCGGGTCCCGGCGATGCCCAGCCCCCAGACGGTCAGGTCTGGCGGAGTCATGCAGGCGCGGACACACACTCCGTGGGCGAACCGCCTCCACCACACTCGGGACAAAGATTCCTTTTTTTTTTTTTTTACATTGACCGCTGACTGACTGCGAGTTTGTTTTGAACACCCGGAGAACGAATCCCTTTTGAAAGGAAAACGAAGTCGTCTTACATCGCCAAAGCGCAGACTGGGTGAAGAATGTCTGGACGACGCCGGGGCGCCGTGCCCGCGCGGGTCCCCAGGGGGCGCGCGGCAGAGGGGACCCCGAGGCCCAAACCCCCGAGTCCACGGCGCCCCCCACACCCAGCCCAGCAAGTTTCACTGCTAGTTTGTCAGGAAAGATCAAAAAGAGAAGCAAAGCGAGACTGCGGTGCAGCGGGCAAGGGAGGGTGGGGCTGTGAGCGGAGCACAGGAGCGCGGGGAGGGGACGCGAGCCGGGCTGGGCTGCGGGCCGCGGGCTGCGGGCCGCGGGCTGCGGGCCGCGGGCCGCGCTGAGTTCACTTGGCCAGAGGGGGCGGCGGTATTGTTTTCGGCGCCTAGGAAACCTTGGGAAGGCGCTGGGTACTTCCCCTCCACCTCCCTCCGAGGTTCGGTAAATATTAACAAACCCGGGCGCGTTTTCTGGAGTGTGGACGAGGGGTCGGCTGGCAGGGGTGGGGACGGGGGTGCGCTCCGGATCCCCGCCCCCCAGGCCCAGCCCCACTCTCCGTGCGCGCACACCTGCTTGACAACAGAAAGAATCAAAATCAATATTGTATTTGTCACCCCCTCGGTCTCCTTTCTACTCCCTCAGCAGCCCGGGTGCCACTGAAGCGAATTGTGGATTTATGGAGGGAAATTAGCATAAATTATTACGAAATCTGTAGCCGTGTGTGGTCCAGCTTGTGGGAAAAGAGGCTATTGCGAACTCTCCAAGCAGAAAGGTGGTCGGTGGCAAGCTTTGCGGAGGCGATGAATGGCTGTTGCACGAAAGAGATTTCCATTTGGTTTGCACATGGGTATAATTGACTTATGTGTATTTTATACAGTTTTCCCAACAACTCTCTAAGCCTCCGGGTCGGATGTGCCCCCTCCATGTCTGTTTGCTTTGGGTTCTGTACAATAGACTCCGATGCACTTTTCAAGATTTCTGCAAAGTGCTCTTCCCCTCCTCCTCTTTATAATACCAGACTTAAAATGCTGTAAATAGCATGCAAAGCCTCCCTCCCGGCCTTTGGCTTAGCAGACCTCCCGTAGCAACCGATATGTAACTTTGTAGTAAAGAACTGTTTTCAATGGGCGTTTCTCAAGTTCCCCCGCCTGGCCACGCAAATTTGTGCTACTCAGTACGATTTACTTAATTAGTCCCAGGCAAGGGCAATGAGGCTCAATTCCCAGTCCTATAGTAGGTAAACTCCGAGGTGCGCCTACGTGTATCACTGCATGTCCCAAACCTGGTGGTGACAGTTTCCCCGGGGAGGTGGACAAAGATCTATTCCAACTTGTGTGTGTGTGTGTTTAACCCCAACGTTTTCACCCTTAAGAGTTTAATCTCCTGTTTACTCTGAGCAATGGTTTTGACAGCCAAACAATGGTCCTCTGCAAGGGCACCCAAATGCCAGTTGTTTAAATGCGAACACGCTGTTCCCTCGAGATTCCCCAATCTGATACTCAATCGGAACCCAGACCGGGTAGTAGAAAACAATCTTGGGGGCGGTCACTGGGAGACCTTGCATTCCCAGGCTCACCAGCTCCAATCCAGCCACTGCAAGTCTTTACATTTCAATATGAGGTGGTGCATGTTTGCTGAAAGAATACCCCCAAATGCCTGGGGGCCTCCACTGGAACTTTGTCACCCCAGGAGGGCTGCTGCCTTCACCTACGCAAACTCAGACCAGCACCTTTGCACTGTGGAAAAAGACAAGCCCTACCTGCTATTGAGTCTCACGCATCCCCTCGCGCTCCTCCTCTCCTTGGGTTCCCCAGGCCTGGGACCCTCCAGCAGACAGAGGCCACCAAGTACCCCCCCACACACACCCCTCACCCGCCAACCGCACCTCCTTCGGACCAATGCCCGGAGCACCTCGGCCAGCAGGACCCCTTGGGCCCAGTCCCGGATGGTTTACTCCAATAAGGTCGCTGCGCGCAGCAGCCCGGCTGCAACCGAACCCCGAGGCGAGTCCGCACCCCACCCCCACCCTCGCACCCACCTCCCCCTCCCGGTTATATTTTCCGAATTAAGAAGGTGATATTTTTTTTCAAGCACTTCTGTTAATATTGAAAAACGTGCGCATGCATCTCAAGCAAGGCAACCCAGGCTCCAGATCCATTTCAATATTAATGGAATTGTTTAATCTCCAAAATTCATCGTGTTGAAGTTACGTTTTGGTGAGTTATTGACTACCTCCGGAACGATGCACGCTGAACATCTTCTGGGATTGTTGTTGTTGTTTTGTTTTGTGCTAACCCCAAATAACCTCCCCCTAACACTGCTCCCGCGTCGCTTAAAGTATCAAAACGAAACGTCATGCCCAGAGCTCCCCGCCACCTCCCGGGGCGGAAGAGCGCTCACGTTTCCGGACCGTGAACCTCGGTGCAGGCCGTGGGTAGTGAGTTTTAAACACTACGATGAGTTTCTCTTTAAAACCACGGAGGTCAGGGAGTGCTCGGAAACGCGTGGGAACGCCCAGCGCCTACTCGCAGCCTGCGCGCACGCGGGCGGCGCCGACTCCCTGTTTCATAGCAGTTTGATGATGATGACGACGACCACAACGATGATGATGATAATGATGATCATAATGATTCATTTAACCTTCCCAAGACAAATCGGAACCGAAAGGAGCCTGCTAGAAGCGCGATGGGGGGGGGGGATGACCTGAGGCACACACCTCCCCCACGCCAAAGAAAAAAAGTACTGCTATTTTAATGGGACTGCAGGTGGCTTTCGCTGGCCTCAAAGCCCTAAATTTTCTTAATGTTGGGGGGGGGGGTAGTGTGAGTGAGTGTGCGTTGGGGGGCGGCGGCTGTAAGATGCAAACTCACGAACTTCCCGGTAACACCTGCGACCAAACTGCCCTGAAGAAGCCAGAGCCCCGCCGTCCTGGGGGGGACCGCGTCCAACTCCGGGCCTCCCAGGTCCGCTAGCCACCGTCCGCCCCATCACCCCACACTGTGCCATCCATTCCGCTGGGAGACTTGTAGAGCGGAGACCTTGCCTCTTCCCCCACATAGACCATCTTTTTTATTTTAATATGGTCAATACTTTTACAACGGGCGACTGTTGCGTTGCATGTTCCATTTTTTAAAAACCTCATCACTTTTTTTTTTTTTAAAGTACACATCCCCAAGCCGTGCAGAGCTAAACTAGCAGTTCACGAAGGTCTAATCAAACTTGGGCCTACTCTTAGAGGACTGCGGAAGGGTATGTCTCTATGCTAGCCACCCAAGCAGCCAACCCCCGGGAATGCCCAGAGAAGCCTTGCCTGACCCTGGTTAACGATACAAACCGGATGCAACGCGGAGGACACGGAATCCCCCCAGCCAGGCACTGTTCGCGTCCCACAGCATCCACGCGGCGGCTCCGTCTGTGCACCAGCGGTCGCCAGGCTCCCTGCTCCGCGCGCCGGCCACCTCGTACCTCTGCTTCGCGCGCCCCGCTCCCCACCAGTGGGCCCTGCTCTTCCCTCGCGCCCGCAGGGGCTGGGGCTGGAAGTGATTGCTATTGGCCAAGGTGTCCGCGTAAATAGGTATGAAAGGAACTGGAGCCGGCCAGGCACTCTCCCCGCGCAGTCCCTCCCTCTCCAGCCCCCGCGCCCCTCCTTTCTCCCTCCTCCTCCTCCTCCTCCTCCCAAGGCGATTGTCATATGATAGCTAAGAAGTGGCACGTTAATGAAGCGCCGCTACAGGGGTCTTTTCTGCTCCTGTCACCGCTTAAAACTATCAGATGGTGCGAGGGAGGACATGGAGGCAGCCACCTAGCTCAGCGCCGCTGCGGAGCTCACAGCAGCGCCCTCCCGAGTCCCGAGGCCGCCGCTGCCCAAGTCCGCGCCCGGACCCGGACGCCGCCGCCCAGCTCGGCCGCCTGCGAGACGCACGGCCCGGACCCGGCGGCGCAGGGCGCTGCGGGGCCGAGCTCCGGAGCCCAGTTCCGCGTGCAGCTCGTCCTGACCCGGACGCTGCGCGGGGGCCGCGCGCCGTGAGCAACGCGGAGACCCGTGGGGCCATTCGGATGCGGACGCGCAACTTGGAGCAACTTTAAGGTGAGCAGCTGTCCGTGCCGTGCCTGCCCCGTCCGCGCTCCGGGTCCCGTTGTTTTTCCCGCTGCTTTGGTGCCACTCGCCGGCTTCCTCTCCCGCGCGCCCCGGCGGGGTCTAGGTCTGGGCGCAAAGTTGCAGGCTGGAGCGCGCGCCGGGCAAGCCGGAGGACAGCCTCCCCCAGCCCGGAACCCGGGGTCCCTGTGCATCCACGCCACCCTCCCCTCCCTGCCGCCCCCTCCCTAGATCCGAGCAGCCTGCCGCCGGCCCGCGCGGACTCCGAGTTTGAAAGGGGCGAAGCCGAAGATGCCTCGGCCGGGCCGCAACACGTATAGCGACCAGAAACCGCCCTACTCGTACATCTCGCTGACCGCCATGGCCATCCAGAGCTCGCCGGAGAAGATGCTGCCGCTGAGCGAGATCTACAAGTTCATCATGGACCGCTTCCCCTACTACCGGGAGAACACGCAGCGCTGGCAGAACAGCCTGCGCCACAACCTCTCTTTCAACGACTGCTTCATCAAGATCCCGCGGCGGCCGGACCAGCCCGGCAAGGGCAGCTTCTGGGCGCTGCACCCCAGCTGCGGGGACATGTTCGAGAACGGCAGCTTCCTGCGGCGCCGCAAGCGCTTCAAGGTGCTCAAGTCGGACCACCTGGCGCCCAGCAAGCCGGCGGACGCGGCGCAGTACCTGCAGCAGCAGGCCAAGCTGCGGCTCAGCGCGCTGGCCGCCTCGGGCACGCACCTGCCGCAGATGCCCACGGCCGCCTACAACCTGGGCGGTGTGGCGCAGCCCTCGGGCTTCAAGCACCCGTTCGCCATCGAGAACATCATCGCGCGGGAGTACAAGATGCCCGGGGGCCTGGCCTTCTCCGCCATGCAGCCGGTGCCCGCGGCCTACTCGCTCCCCAATCAGCTGACGAGCATGGGCAGCTCGCTGGGCGCTGGCTGGCCGCACGTGTACGGCTCCGCGGGTGTGATCGACTCTGCCGCCCCGATCTCCATGACGAGTGCCGACTACAGCGCCTACGGGGTGCCGCTGAAGCCGCTGTGCCACGCGGCGGGCCAGACGCTGCCCGCCATCCCCGTGCCCATCAAGCCCGCGCCGGCTACGGTGCCCGCGCTGCCTGCGCTGCCCGCGCCCATCCCCACGCTGCTCTCGAACTCGCCACCTTCGCTCAGCCCCACGTCCTCGCAGACGGCCACCAGCCAAAGCAGCCCCGCCACGCCCAGCGAGACGCTCACCAGCCCGGCCTCCGCCCTGCTGTCCGTGGCGGTTCACTGACCCGCGGGAGCTGCGCCCCTGTCCCCGCCCGCATCCGCTCCCGGCCACCCCAGCGCGCACGGCTCCCCGCCACCTCGGCCGCAGCCCGACTGGGCAGTCAGCCTCCGGCCCACACCCTCTCTCCCAGAACTTCGTGTTTGGTGGTGTTTTGTTTTGGACCCAGGGAGACAAAGTTCAGATTTGCCCGAGGCTCACGGGAGTCCCCTTGGCCCTTACGGCCCCGCAAGCAAGGGCGACCTGAGCGCGCCGCGCTCCCGCCGGACTTGGGGGAACCCGGCCCGGCGCCGCAGCAGCCCTGGAGAAATCTACCCGGGGGTCCCCGGAACCGCTCCCCGAGGTCTGGGAGTCTGCGGGGAGAGCAGCGCGCCTTCCCAGAGCTCGCCTCCGCCCCAGCGGCTTCCCCACGGCTGCGCCCCAGCTCCCGGGATCCCGGACCAGATCTTTTTTGTTGTTTTGTTTTGGGTTTTGTTTTCTGCCTTAGGCTGCGAGCACTGGAGTTAGGAGGGAGGCTGCTAACCTGAGAAAGGGACCTTTGTTGTCCTCAGGAGCAAGATAAAACTAAAAGTAACCTTATTGTTTACAAAGCGCCCGGTAAGACACAAACAGTGAACAGTGAACTTGACTCTGGCCTGGTAGGCGGGCGGGCGAGTGGGCAGAGCCCACTTCACAAGCACCTGTGGTAATAATGTGAATGTTTACTCCTGCTTCCCGGCCAGGTCGAAGAGGGAAGGGGAAATGGAAACGTTAATTGGGGTGTCCACTTCCTTATTACTTAGAGACTTGCTTAGCTATTTATTTTATGGATTAAAGAAAAAAGGAAGGAAGGAAGGAAAGAAGGAGCCGAAGAAAGATGAAATAACCCAAACCAAGAAAGTACCAAGGGCCAGCCTGACGAGCTGAGAGAAGTCGACTGATAGAGCAAGAGGTGTCCACAGCAGCTTTCCCCTGGACAAGGCTTTCTGTTGCAAAGAACTTTTCTGTAAAGTAAAAGGGCTGGAAAGAGATGTAAATAGTTGTGCATAGGAATGGCTGTACACCGTGTAAAATGCACTTTTGTTGGCTCTGTTCCTTTAGACTCTTAGGTAATTTGCTGGAAAACCAACTATTGTTCTGATGTGACCTGCTTAAGTTAAAAAAAAAATTGTAGTTACCATCAGAGCTGTAAAGTTTTACCTTTCATTTTTCTTCCTCCCTGTACAGAATTAGCATGGCGTTTTAAATATTGATGTTCTTGTTCCCAGCATGCCTGTTTCAAGACAAAGAATTTTAAAAAGGTGTCTACATTAAATTATGACCTAGTCTAAATAATATTTTCTCATTAAAATATGTAAATTCAAATTTTAGTTTTGTGTGTTTTTGAAGAGTTTGCTGCAGAGAACAGCTTTACAAGAGAAGGATGGAGTGCTTCCCTACGTGTGCTTTCTGCAACAAGAGTACTTTCCTGTTTTATATTGTGAAGAGTCTGACCTCCTTGTAGAATGTGAAAGGAATTATTCAAATGGACGCTTGAACATTTCTGTGTATAGGGAAAGAGGAAGCGAAGTATTTCTATTATAAACCAGATGCACAGGTGTAGTGCTTAAAATGTTACTGAAAAAATATAGTACTTTATATGTATTTTTGTCTATCTTAAAATATACATATTATGAAATATGTAGCACTTATATAATTATAAGGTTTGTGTAGAAATCAGGTAGAGGGAGATTTAAAAAGTAAAACCAGACTTGCTTACTCAATACTTATATTCTGATGCATCTTATTTGGAGGGAAAATTCATTTTCTTGGTCCTTGAAATTATTGCAATTGTGGAAATTTTTCAACAAACTACCTACTGGTTTACTTTACATGCCAAGAAACCTGCTCACTTTGAACGGGATTGATTTCTTCCACTCCTACATGTGTGAAAATAATATTTATTCTGGAGCCTCAAATGAAGTTTGTTTAAATGCCTGCTGTAAGTTCTTGCTTCTCTTCAGATTTTTTTTTCTTTTTGCAGAGAATTAAACTTTGCCAAGAATTTACAGTTCACGGCTAAATGACACATTCTTAAAGGGGTCACAGGATTTCCAGAGTGAGGTGTGTATTCAGCTAATGAAGTTACAAGACAAAGAGAAACTTATGGGCATTAACACTGTACTATGTAAAGTGATTAAACAAGGCACCCTTGTGCAAACCCAGTGGAGGCCAACAGAATGCATTGGATCCAGTCGTTCTGTGAGGAGAAGCCTCAGCACCTGTGACTATCACATAAGTAGTGAGTTACCTGGAAAACAATTTAGGATTAATGCAAAGGGTAATTAATCCATTGTGACCATTTGTTTTTAAAGGAAGGATCCCACACACAGCCAAAAGCGGGGCGGGGGGGGGTGGTGGAAAATAAATGAATCATTGCACTGATTAAAATGCATGAAGCTTCTAAAGCTCGTCAGACAGGGGACAAATAAACTCATTCATCAAGCCCAATTCACAATTATATCAACAAGATCAGCCAAAGAAAGCCTGCAAAACTTAGCCACCCTGGGTCAGGAAACTCTTGAAACTTAGTTCTCAGCAAGAAGTAATCTACAGTTTTAAAGAAGTAAAGGCATTTGCACAGTGACCTGCAACATAAAATTAAAACCATCTTTGGACTATCCTAATCTCATCAAATTTAGTAACGCTTGAGTTCAAGCTGGGGTTAAGGAAGGATAAAGAACTACCCTGGCCCTGACACATGTACCTCATCCCTTAGTCAGGTAAACTATTCCTCCTCCTAATCAGTGCTGGAATTGAGAGGTAAGTGATAGGAACACACACACATGTAATACATAAAAACAAATAAGAAACATCTTGTTTCTGATTTTTTAGCAAAGGAGAAATTTCAACTCAGTGTCTGAAATCAGCTGCTAAGTTCGTCATGGGGCACTGCGGAGAATGAAATAACTTGGGCATTGTGAGCCTGCCTTTCACCCCCACACCATCTTTTCCCAACACAAGTTGAATGAGTAAAGTAAAAAGAAAAGAAAACAAACCCAAACCCAAACTCACTGATGATGTTTTGACCTGGATTAGAAATCCGGCTCACACACAAGCCCTTGATTAACACCCCCCCCTTCACCTGCCCCCAGCTTGGAGACTTTGAGCTGAAGTTTATAACTATCACACCTCCAGTGGCTGTCTTTGTCATGTTAAGTCGTTTCACCTGGCTCAAATCCAAAGTCAACACACAGGGCTTTAAAGTAAAACTAGAGAAAATGACAGTGCAGGGAGGGGGGTGCATGCGTGTACCCTGCACGCCAGTCAAGATAAGGCGAGTTGTTTTCTGTCTGGTAATTGTGACAGTACCAACTACATTTTTAAACTTACGTTTTAGACTTGGAAGCCTTGCTGGTTATGCTAGTCCTTCTGGTTCTTCAACATGGTTCTGTATTTACGTGTATTTTAAAACAGTTTATTTTGTGATTTGAGGAAATGCTGTAAGAATTCTCACTGTTCCTCCTGGCTGATTTGGGGGCTTTGAGGAGCCTGAAGACTTGAAGGCAGGCAGCAGGGGTACAGGATCCTCAGAGGGCCTTGAGTGGGATGGCCCTGAGTGTAAGTCCTCTAAATGGCTAAGAAGCCGAGGGTCCTGGAACATGAATCTAGTCTGGAGCTCAAGTAGGGACCCAGACTGTGGATTTTGCCAGGTTTATGCCACGTCAGGGATAGTGAGGTGGTGCAGAACAGAAGGGGCAGCAACGGTTTCCACTTCTACAACTGAGAACTTTTGTCACAGGCATCCAGTTAAGAACCTGAAACACTTGGGGTCTGTTCTTAAATTCTTAATATAAATGTCAATTAATTTTCTTTTTCTTCTAAAAGCCACGTATGCGCGGAGACACCCAAACAAAAACAAAACAAAAACAACCCAACCCACCGGCTGTGAAGCCTCAAAGGGGCTGCATTTGTTTCGTTTAAACTAACAACAAATTATCTAATTAATATGTTTCAATTACAGCATGAAAGGGACAGAGCCTGGACCGCCCGCCGTGGGGACACAATAGCCCCAGAGCCCACTCTAGGAATTTACAATAACTGCACATCTGTTTCTTTATTTCCTACTTTTTGAGCCTAAAACTTCTCTTGAAACCACTTCGAGTCATGGCTTGAGTTATGAAATATGTCCCAGTGTCAGGGAGAGACACAGCTTCACCCAGTGATGCTTCCTTGGCAAGCAAAAAAGTGAAAGCCCATTGAAAAGCATTAAACAAATATATTAGAATTCTGTCACTTTATGCAATTGAGTAGATCAAATGGAGGGTCCAGGCCACTTCATTCACTCTCATTCACTCGAATAGAAAATGCAAAGAATAGCAACCCGAGACTGGGCCACCGATGTAGATTTAGCTCCTTTTTACTGGGAGACAAAAAGGCTGAATTTTCACAAACACATTGCTGACTCGGGGACTAGGAAACCAGCATTGGAACCCCTTTGGAATTTAAATTCATTTTATCTTCCTCTCTCTTTGCAGGGATCTGTTTGCACTACAGTGCAAGATGCAGGCATCCCCTGGCTTCTGAAAAGGGGGGTGGGGTGGGGAGAAAGTGGAGGGCGGGCAAGGCAGGACTTGGGATTCCCAAGGAACTCTTGGTGATTAATGAGCAGGCAGGTCTGAGACCACAGGTCTGATTTAAGCAAATCTTCATCTACAGCAATATAAACATCATCACAGCACACACGCCTCCCGGTCACTGCCTCCGAGTTGGCCCGGATTAGCAGCCTGCTTCCCAAGATCAGAATCACAAGGGTGCCGTCCGGTTCCCTTCTCTCCACCAGCAGTTCATGGGTGACCCAACAGACTTGAAAGCTGAGCTCCTACCTTACCTTCTCTGGCTCTCATCGTCTGTGAACTTCTCTCTCTTTCTCTTGCTCATCTTTGCACTCTGCTAGCTGTGTATCTGAGCAGAGTGATGGTTTGACAGATTCTATTGAAATTAGCAGAAGATATTCCCTGATTAGATTCCAGCCCATGGCCCCTGGGCCACTTGCCCTCTTAAAAAATATTTATTTTATGTGTGGCCCAAGACAATTCTTCACTCCATGAGGCCCAGGCAAGCTAAAAGGCTGGACACCATGGGTTGGCACTTCCAAGCCAGGATTCTTCCACATTTTCATTTTCCATCCAGAGGGAGACCAAGCCACATAGGTTAGGGTGACTAGATAATCTTGTGGGGATGGACACCTTCCATCTGGTGTCTTCCAACACCGCATTTTGCTGTGGTGAACTTTATAAACTTTCACATGTCAGTATCTTAGAGAGCAACTAACAGAGTTGCTGCCAGAGACCAAGTAGGAAAAAATGAAGAGGAAAATAGCTTCTGAGGTATGTTTGGGGAGGAATGAATTTTTCTTTAAACTTGAATTATAAATGAGCTCTTCTTTGAACAAGTAAGTATTGGAGAGCTGTTCTATTGCCTTTTAAATTTTTGTCTTGTACTATACTTCTTGAGAACCCTGGGACTTTTAACACTTTAAATTTTATTTTTAAAATTTATAAGGTCGTATTTAAGATCTTGGTTTAATTCTTGGGACTGGTGCCTGGAGCTGGGAAGGGGAGGAGCTCAGACTTCCAGATTAAAAAAAAAATTAAGAAATAGTTGGTGGTTTTATAACCAGAAGCTATCAAAGCCACCGGGACTAATAATAAAACCAATCAGAATTTATCCATGAGAAATTGGAGTTGTTTAAATAAAACCTTTCTTGTAAGAGTTTCCTTCCAGAACATCAGAAATATCTGGACAAAAGGGTCTTCTTTCGGACGGCCTTCTTTTGCAAATAACTGTTGTCAAATCAGTTGCAGCCTTTTGAAGGGACAAACTCTCAGAGCATTAATTAGAGCAGATTAAGCTCACAGATAAAAAAGCATTCTTTAAGTATTTGTTGTTTGGAGACATTGTAATTTTAATTCTTGCTCTGCAGTCTGTATATTTTTATTTACTCAGTTAATTTCTTCCCCAGAGTATTTCCTCTGGGTTTACCAAGGTATACAATTCAGAAAGAGTTGTTGGTTTGCAGAAATAATTGTTTCCAAATTCTGCCTTGGTTACAGATTTCTCTCTTCTTCAGAAAATAGAATGTATTTGATGATTCTAGCACCTAGTAGCACAGAGAAAGACAATTCAAAACAAGGTCTTAATTTTGTGCCACTTACAAGAAGCTTAGTATTTATTCAGTAGTATCTAGGGTGTTTCACATTAATTAGGGCAGCTCCTTAGAGAGACATTACAGCCAAGCATGCTTTCACACAACAGAAAAACTCCAAGCATCTGACCTGCCTGCTACTAGGAGATTAGAACAGCGCACCTCCTGGAAACACCAGCAGCACACATCCTACCCACTACTAGGCGGGGTGGACCACTGGTCTACGCACAGCAATCCAATGATCATTGGCAAGTTTCACGTCACTCGCGATGGTTATGTCAGCTACTGGAAAAAATCATGCTTTGTCTCAAGATTTCTGGCATGATTTCATATTGGTGACAAAATGACAAAAACCCAGTGCTCCCAAGCCCAGTGGATTACTCAGAACGAGTTAAACATTTCCATGACTGCCCAAAAGGCTGTAACAGCTCCACTTTTTGTGCTGTGTTTTGTCAGAGAAGGAAGGGGCAGGGGAGATTCAGGGAGGGAAATAAGGAAGGACAAGTGTTTCAGTCTATCAGATTGTTCCCGTCATGTCTGTATAGTAATTCCTGGTTCCTGCTCCGCATCTCATAAAACCCATCTGATAACAGAATGACTGGGAGTGCTGGAAATGGTTCTGTGGTGTTAGTGTACGGAAAAATTCTATTCTTCAAAACAACAACAACAACAGAATTCTATTCTAGGCCATCAGTGAATGAGAATGGTGACAAACCAGGCTTCTGCTGTGAGACTGAGTGTAAGATTAAAACCTATGAATGTATTTAGATTTACTCCCGGATTCCCTTGGCTTTACTGAAAGGGGAATCGTCCCATAAAACAAGAAAATGAAAATGATTAACTTTGACATCAAAATATAAACA